AAATTGCTCGCGGTCTTGGCCTCCTTTGAAGGCAAACTCCGAGATTGAACTAGTGCTATCAGCGCTCTGTAGTGATACCTTAGCTGCGGAACGCCTGAAAGTGGGAAGGAAAGCAAGAGAAATCTTTACGAACGCTGAAACTAAGGTCTTACCCTTTAACAGGGTCGGATGTGGTACGATGTCGAGAAAGGGCGGTCAAAGAAGACAAAATACGCGAGAGAGCACGTCGTTTGAGAGAGCACGCTGATCTCACCACCTCTCGCGGGTGGGAGCGTTGGAATTGGGTCGATGGTTGCAGGCCCGTAAGGATTAGCGCCCTAACCGCGCAATTTTTGCGACGAAGCTGGAGTGATCTAGGTAGTTACAGACCTTACAATTTCCCTAGTGGTATCCCTCCTACTAGTCGGGCCAATCCCGGGGTTTGCCTTTAAGTTGCTCACTGTGCCGGCCATCTTGGAGATACGGGTAGAACTTCAGAGAACTTCCTTCCTTGAGTGAGGTAGCAGGACTCCCGATCACGGGGGCAGTTGTACTGCCGCGACGTCGCTTGACCGCTGCGATCGCTTTCGCTGTTATCAGCATAAGTGGCGTCTGCGCCCTATCCCGTCCGGGCTTTATCGTTTTCTTTCTCTCCTCGCAGCGTTGTGTTTCGTTGACCCAATCTCGGTCGACCTCACAGGGAAAATTTCAGTTCTTCATGGTGCTTTTTTGCTTATTTGCACAGGCGTTCGTCGCTCGTTTCACTTCCGAACTGAACAACACATTAATTTGATCGCGGCCGTGCCCTCAGAGGACACAGAATCATTTCCGTTGCTGTGGAGTGCCATGAGTCTGCCCAAGGTGAAGGGGGCAAATGACCGTTTATACTTGTGTCGGTGATTAAACCGTGGTCGGAGTTTTTTGAAAAACTGGAATATGGATAGAATCCCTCTGGAAAGGAGAATATTCAACAATGTAATTGAATAGATTGAACGACTTATTTGAACAGCCAGAATTCACCGGAGATCCTGAGAAAATCCAAATGGCGGCAAGACGATAGGTGGTGACCCGACTCGTAGAAGTTCCTGTTAAGCCTCCAAGCTGCCTTATATACCCTCTTTTCCCGACTCAATTTAGAGTGTCGATATAAGACCACCTTGATCGACACGATCATCTCCTTGCTGGTGTTAGGCTGGTTATCACAAACAATTGGCGATTGTGGCAGCGATTTCGCTACAGCTTGCTCAAAGAGGTAGCTATAGCATATTCACTATTTAGTGTTGATTTTCAAACACTAGGCTCTCAATATCAACACAAAATCGAGAAGATTTGTAGAGATAAAAATGCTCAACAACGACTTCAGATTTTGGCATCGACCAATGGTTTATGTGTATGGCTTTGTGGTGAAACTTCAGTTCGCGAGGCAACTCAGTTGTGCTCTCCAATACTAGACAAAGACAAGAGTTTTTATGTCACGTAATGGATTCATTCAAAACTACTTTTGATAAGGGCCGGTGTAGTGTAGAAGTACTTCAAAGGTGCTTTCAGATTTTTGGTTGCTTGTTGGCCCAAGGAATCGGTCCTGAACTAGGGTATGAACATTCTTAAGTAAGCGCAAGGGTGGACGATCACATATCGTAAATTGCCTAGGATGTGAGCAGAATGTGCGAGATGTAGGGCATACAGCGGTCCTCATCAAAAGTGCACTTGAAATTAGGCCTATCATCTAATCAATAGGGTTAGAGTCCAAAGTAGTGCTCTCTAGTACTACGGATGAGACAACAGGGACTTCGAAACTGGAGTTTCACTGGATTTGCATATTTTTTCGAGGGAATTGGCGCTCGAGAAAAGGAAAAACTGGTTGTGTTCGCCAACGTGCCATTGTTCCCTGTGGAACAGCGGCGTCTTTGTGAGGAAGCTGGAAGCTTAGAGGTCAATGACATTGCGCAAAAATCTAACTACCATTTTTTCTATCAAAGAAGAGCACGGATGTTCTGTTCCTCTTTGTTTACTTCTCATGTTCTCGTATACATCTGGATACGAGTCCAGTTTTGATGAATATGTATTGCTCTGTCAGTATCGTTTTCTCAAAGGCGATGTTCGAGATTTTCGGTTTTTCAGCATGATCTATTCAAAGTAACCATGCTGTTCCATTCCAGAAAAAACCATCGCTAAGTGGATAGGTGGCTGGCCCACATCAAAGTGGAGGCGAACGCATGTGCGCGAGATGGTCCACCCTTGTTCCTCGCATCGTCTCGCTCTGGTGGTTGTGCTTATCGTCATCTTCGTTCTGTTAATCGATCCTCTGAATTCCAACAAAAATAGCAAGGAGTCCGACAAACAGATGAGGGAACCTTCAAATCTGACTACGATTATCGTAGTTACGCCCACACATAAAAGACCAGAAAGGCTCGCCGACATGATCAGGTGATTTTTTCAGCCTTAGCCTTGAATTTTCATAGTAGCGGCGATTAAGACATCTACTTACTTTCTGGTTGTCTCGTATTTCAAGCCCATCGTTTTCGGTTATCGCAGACCCTTTCGCATGTGTCACGACTTCACTGGATAGTTGTCGAAGATGGCGAAGCGACAGTGCCAGCTGTCAGCCGAATTCTTCAACGAAGTGGCGTGCCACACATCTACCTCGCAACCACATCATCCACTGGAATGCCCAGTATGCCATCAATTTCAGTTCCAGTGAGGTTCATTGTTTGTTACTGATGCATTTACAGGACGAGGCTGGACACATCGCAATGTTGCTCTGCAATACGTGAGAGAGAACTATGACAAGAATCGCAGCGCCGTTCTGTACTTTGCCGATGACGACAACACATATGACATTCGGCTATTCAACGACTACATCCGAAAAGTGATGAGGATAGGAGTGTGGGCGGTCGGTTCGTAAGTCGCTCTCGATTTTTTCTTCTGTAAAGCTCATTCGCATTCTTGAACATTTAGAGAGATTTTCTGAAGCTGTCGTAGTAAGTGGGGCTGCATATATCTCGAGCGGGCGAGTATAAACCCTGTACCTGTTCGCATGTCGTCCGTGGAAACAGTCTTATATCCTGTGGTCCTCGTGATCCTGTATGAGACTTGCTCTCGGGAAAATAAAAAACGTAAACAAGTACTTCAGGCTGGCCACAGCGAGCTATCTTATGCGGTCGTCTTCGTAAGATTGAAAAGTCATTGCGGCTAAATAAAAGTCGCCTTCGCTGCTGCTACGATCCTGAATGGAAGTGGACTGCACGGCGCATCCCAGTAGGAATCATCAATCAGTGTCGAATGCTTCGTTCCTTTTCCTGTAGTGAGGCTAGCTAACCAAGAACAGGAGTGTGAAGTGAACAAGCCGCAATGACCTTCTCCTAGCGTAACAGGAATTTCGACCTCATGCGGTCATTCAATTGCGAATTTAGCTTACTTTGAAGGAGAATTCCATGTTGTACAAAAACATCTTGAAAATCTGAATTTTGGGAAACCTGGTGCAGCTGTCATTGTCTCTTTTTTCGTTGACCAATAAAAGAACAAAACTCAAGAATTGGTGCAAAGATGAAAGATTTTTGGCCGCTGTGCAAGATAAGTACCGTATAATATCGTTCAAAACTCCCCTTGAGATAGAGTACTGCAAAAGAGTATTTGTTGGTTTGATATCACCATAAACTGCTGAAGTCTGTAAGGGCTTTCGATTGGCACCTCTTTCATTCACAGCACAGCTCCTAAATTACATTGTTGGACAATTTTTTTTTTATTCTTGGCCCTGTTTTCTTTTAAGAGTTTGCCAAGTCCTTGACACCAGATTGATAATAGGCTCGCTCACTTGGGTAGCATTAAAGAAGGATTTCACGACAAATCCACAGTTGAAAAGAGGAAAACTCATCTAGTGTGGAGGACTGGCAATTCGCAGCGAAGGATATGCCCTCGGCGATTTAGCATGGTCTCCCCGCGACGCTATCAGCGCGGCACGCCCACAGATTTTCTAACCACTCGCAGCAGGTTTCCAGCTTTCTAGCAGAGACAGCGTTAGCGTTGGAGAGGGTGCTTAAAGGAGTTGGAACCTTTAATTTCTTTTCTTCTTCCGATCACTCCTTACCTTGAACGCCGTTATTGAGCGCCCTTGCACGCCGAGTTTATCCCAGGGCTTGCCTTACGAAGGAAAGATTTCCTCACACTAAGCGTTCAACATGGTCCTTTTAGTAGACCAAATTTCTATCAAGTAAATGGTTTTCTCTGCACATTCTTGGTCTGATTTCATTCACATCAAATTTTAGGATTGGTGGGAGGCGCATGGGTTGAAGCTCCCCACGTGTCTTCCAAAGGCAAAGTAATCGCATGGGACGTGATGTTTGCTCCTGGTAGGCCATTCGCCACCGATATGGCTGGATTTGCGATCAACATCAGAGAACTTTTCAGAGCTCGCGAGTATGTATTTTTGATTTTGAGCCAAGGACACAGTGAAACAGCTTTTCTATTGTTTTCAGTGCCTCTTTCAACCAAAACTGCGCAAAAACCTACAAGCAAGGCCCAGAATCGTGTTTCCTCTCGCAGTTTGGATTCAGAAAAGAAGATCTTGAGCCGTTTGGATACAAGGATTATCCGAAGGAGATTCTCGTATGGCACACAAAGACATCCAAGTCAAAAACGAGAGGACCAAAACGTGGTTATGCCATAGAATCGAATAATTGAACGATGTTCAGTGACCGAAGACTTTGAGGAGTAGGAGGTTCATAGGGTACGTTATAGTGATAGAGGTGCAGCTCAATGCGTGTAGTGCCATGTTTTCATTTTGCTCAATTCGAGAAGCTTGCTGTTTCATAATTGATTCGATTGCTATGTGTAACTTAATAATAATAAAGAAAGAAAATTTAGAGTTTTGTTATTTCACAAAAATAATGACGAAATTTTTTATTGCAATTGGATGTTTAGTCCAAGTGAAGATGGTATGAAAAGTAAGTAAAGTAATCACGAAGAGGTGAGTGAAGAGATACAATTGCTATACTAAACTTTATTGTCCTAGTTGATGGAGATCCATACGTCTAGTCAGTTCGTAACTGGGGCGGTTACTGGAAGTGGCTACATACATACACATTTCCCAACCCAGATCCTGGCTCGTGAAAAAATAAGCCACGCGTGGCCTGCGCAGACAAACAAGCCTTTTAGTACCTAGAAATCGAGGTTGAGACTGAAGCACCTAAACAACAGAATTATTCATCCAGCACACTGGCACCCGATCCAATTTTGGCTCAAGGGGGACATATGATCCTCTTCTCGCCCCCTAGTACAAGGTAATAACGCGGAAGTCAGTATGCTAACATTCAGTGACCGTTTCATAGCCCATTCTACGACTGGATAGGTATATGTAGGCATTGGACTAGCATATGAGAATGAGATGTGGTAATTTGTTGACCAGTGATGAATTTGATGAACGCAAAGTCACACTTCTCTGGTTGTCTATGCGTGGTTTGCTCCCGCTCTACCTTCTAACTGGTGAGTCTTATCTCCTCGTCGTAATAAGAGGAAGGCCAGCCAGTCAGAGGGTAGCCTGGCGCATATCGCGCCTATACTCTTGCCTTGCTTGTGAACCAGATGTCACATTTGTTTTCATTTTGGAGGCGCGATAACCCAAACCTATTCAATCAGGGAAGGTGTCTCAGATGTATGTAGGCTATGAGCATGTAAACATTTACATGAGTTTGAATCTCACATCCATCCGTTCAATTTTCACAGTAGAGGATAAGCTTCATGCAGTGTTAATAAGCACTTCATGCGTTACAAAAGAGGTACGGGGGAGAGAGGGGTCACTATAAAAGAATCGCTCTCCCGCCCGCTTCCCTCACTCCTGAACGGAATTGATTGTTTCACAAGAATGCTGGGTTGTGAACAAAACTTTCGCCCCAGGCGGGACTAGAACCCGCACCTCTCGCTTTCCGGGCAAGTGCGCTACCAGTTACGCTACCGGGGCACCATTTCATTCCAACTCAGCTTTTCATGGTATACGTACCATAGCTTTCAGCACTCACACGTATAACGTGTTGAGCCGGTTAGCCGATATCGGCAATGACCGCGAGGCTGAAAGCTTTAGCAGTAGCGTAACTGGTAGCTCACTTGCCAAGAAAGCGAGAGGTGCGGGTTCTAGTCCCGCCTGGGGCGAAAGTTTTGTTCACAACCCAGCATTCTTGTGAAACATTCGCAACGCGAACTGCGGCGGGGAAAAAACAGATTTC